AAAAAAAAAAAAAAAAAAAAAAAAAAAAAAAAAAAAAAAAATATTTAAATTTTAGTAAGATTAATATAATTCACCAATCATTTTGTATCATTTTGATTCAAAATAATTTATAAACTATCAGAGTTGTAGTGTCTTAATAAATATCTGAAGCAAGAAAACATAGCAACATGGCATACAATTCCAATTAAAAGTTACCATTTAAAATGATAATAATAAAATAATCCTCTACTCTAAAAGTTATTTTGCATGAAAAATGCCAATCTAATATATTCTTTAAGGGTCAGTATCTTAACCAATTTTTCATTAATATAACAATATACTCAATGTAGTATGAATAATAAAAACCCAGAAACAGATACAGAGGTTCAAGCTGAAGATCAGAAAAGTAAAGCAGCCAGCTACTAGCTCTTATCTCTACCTCAGACTGAAAGGGTGATCCTGTCTTCAAGAATCCTCAGACTCCAATCTCAGACTGCACTCTAGTCAGGCTAGGGTGATCCTATCCTCAGCGTGGTGGAGACTGAATGCTGCATGAGACCCTGAGCTCCTGGCTTATATACCTCTCTAGTGCTGGAATTAAAGGCATACACCACCACCATCCAGCCTCTGTGGCTAACTAGTGTGGCTGCTGGGATTAAAGGTTTATACCACCATTGCCTGGCCTCTATGGCTGTGGCTAGCTTAGCATTCTGATCTGCAGGCAAGCTTTATTAGACCATAAACTATATCACCATAACTCAAGGCAAGCTACTTTATTAAAAAGGAAGTTTATCCAGCTCCCACTCACAGAAGTTCATACTGGCTGCATGTCCCTGGTAAGCACCTCATGATGAAAAGCATTGCTGTCAGCAGTGTATACAAGGATGGACCAAATCACCAGATATGAAGCCAGAAATGCTGCTCAGGAGTACCAACCACAACAATCTTAATTCTGTTCATTCCTAAGTGATACGGGCATTTCCTGTTAAGTCTTACTGTTACCATATTGGAAACTATTTTTCAAATTCCCTTAGAAGACATAATCAAGCCATTTCCAATACAAAGCAGTCCACACTGATGCAGTGTATTTGAGATATACTTACTTATCTGTGGCTATAAGGACAAATATTCAGAATGCAGTAAGGGATCATTCTGGTTTAGTAAAGTGGCAGTTGTAAGTTCTCTTCCAAGATCCATGGAAACCAAGATCCCTAGGTTTCCAGTACTAGGCCCTCTTGTTGAGTGGGCCCTAAGTACAATAAGAGAGCTGTTGTTATCATCAATGTATGTGTGTCAGTATTACCCTTAGGATTATGGTGTCACGATAGTCATTGCTGTGGTTCACAATTAGCACAGCTGAATAGGACAGTCCGTTGCTTCCTGTCTTTGAAAGTTTGCATGGCACCTTCTGGTTTCCTATTGCCCTTGATTGTCCCCAAGAGGTGGAAAGTAGCTGCCTATTGCTGAAGAGAACTGACCTCAAAGTGTCTTCTCTGAGGCCCAAACAAGTAATCATGTATAACAGCATTAGTTTCAACTCACACTGGAAATATTTTTCCTGTTCATATTTCATGCCCTTGAATTTATACCTAAAATTAAGCACTGAAGGCACACCTTTGTGCTGATCAGCTTTTACTTGGTGTTACTAGCAAGGATTGCAGGCATTCTTGGTTCTTAAGGACTGTGGAAGACATACCCCTGTACAGTAACTGGGGGTGTTGTTCAAACTGTGGTCTCCAGATAAGCATTATCATCACCTAAGAACTTACTTATTTGGCCCCTAAACTTAAGGAACTCTGGTGTTAGGGCCTGAAGCCAGTAATTGAAAAGAAATCCTGTGATTTCTGATTGTGAAACCTGATGTTTTAATACAGGTAGGAAGTTGTGGGTTGACAGTTTTCTTGTTTGAGTTCTCTCTATTAAACCTGCCAAGAAGAGTGAGCCTGGTTCTGAAGCTACTGGTTGGCTGTGCTCTTTAAGTAATTATTTAACAACAGTAGTTAAATCTGATGATTACAGATGTGACTTCTACAAAGCCCCCACCAAATGGAGTAGTCTACGTGTGAAAGTAGTAATGCTTAAGTCCTAAAGTGTTAAGTAACATTGGTTCCAATTCAGAAAAAAAGTTGTTGTTCTTTGTGTTTCTAGTTCTGGCTTTTCTAACTGTGCTTCATAAGAGGGTAAATGAAACACACTATACTGCTATTTACCTAATATATACATTGTACATTTATACACTCAATAGTATGAAACATTTTTTTCTGCATTTCAGGCCCAAACTGCTTTGCAGAAACTGCTGTCATCCCAGCTGGTAGAGAAGTGAAGACCGATGAATGCACCATATGTCACTGTACTTATGAGGAGGGTACGTGGAGAATCGAACGGCAAGCCATGTGCACAAGACATGAATGCAGGCAAATGTAGACTTCACAATACAAAAACTCTCATGTTTTTCTAGAATATTTTACTAATGTGACATTCTAGATGACTCTGAGAAATATCAATCACAAAGAGAAGACTTTGGATAAGGACTCAAGGAGAATGGTTGGTACTTTTCCTTTTCTTGGTAACAATTACAGCAAGAGACAGAAATGGATGTATTTCAAAACATCAATAAGAACTTTGGACATAAACTCCCTCTCTAAATAAATGTGCTATTTTCACAGTAAGTACACTAAAGTTCACTATTATATATTAAATGTGTTTCTATAATCCCTCTATTAGAGTCTTATATATTAAAAAATGCTGTTGTCAACCGTCCTCACTGTGTTAGCCTTCATTCCATCACAGGGGGTGCTGGTGGTACCTGGAATCTTTTACACCTGCACATGGAATACTGCACCCTATTAAGGGACTCAGACAATATTGACTGCTTTATATCAAAACCCTGTTCAAATGCTATTAAACTAATGCTATGTATTTAAAGCTTGCCCTTAGGACACAATCTAATTCACATAAATAGGCTTCTATATTTTAGTAACCCATTTCTTTTATCAGTTTATCAGTCATTTGAGAAATGTAGATATACAAATTGCTAGCATATACTGGTTTAGTTCTCATAGTAGTCCATAAATAAACACTTATCTGCATTTCATTTTCATTCACCTTACCTATTTTTCTAAGGAAGACTTGAATTCATTCCCTGAGGAAAACAAGGCTGGGACATCTATGTTAGTGCCCATGGAGCTGGAGTTGTTATGAAGCACTGTGCATGTGCATGGGGCAGCTGTCTTTGGATTCTCTGGAGAATAGTTAAGGAAATTCAAATCCCTGTACAAGCTTGATCCTGGAATAGAAAACATGCTATGGACATCTCAGGTCTCAGCTCAGTGTACTCATACTGCTAGTTGAGGTAGATGTCGGTCCACAATAACAGACATAGTGAAATGATAAATCTGTCTAGCATCAAGAATAGTGTAGACAAAAGTAGAATTCTTTGTCCAAATATGTTTAAACAAGTAAAAATGAAGGCTACAGTCATATATAAGTCAAATTATCTTCATTTGAGCATGGACTAATAAAAGCTGCTGCCAAGTGTTGCTGATTGGGCCACAGTGACTGAAGAAGAGTTCCCTTTTTATGAACTACAACACTAGTGAGAGAGGCAGGCTTGGTCTTAATATGTGTGAACTAAAGTAACTATTTGCAACCTTTACAACATACATTTCCCTACAGTTTTTTTTTCTAAATTTTAGAATTATGTACCTATTACACAAAAAAATCTTGTGGAGTCAAAAAGGAAATGAGGGTTGGTTTGTTTCCTTCATGTGCTTTTTTTTAATGGGACTAAGAAATTACACTATATTATAAACCCAATTGGGATAGAAAATGAATGAAGATTTCTAGAAAGACTTACTAAAAAGAGCACAGTGTAAATACCCATACCCTGTCAATCTATAATAACTTCAGTAACTTATTGTTGAATGACAGTCAATGACAATTGATGCATTTTTCATATATTGAAAATTTCAATCATTATAATAAGTATAAAAAATTACCAGGGCATTTGCATATGCTTATATTTTTATCTTACTTTGAAGGATATCTTGGGTCAGGTGGACTAGCATGTACATCAATTTCATGAAAATACTCAGGGGTATTTTAGCTAGTTACTCTCAGGTACCTGTTTTCAGATTTCCAAAACTTAGATCTTAGGATGAAAGACTGTTAGGCATCATCTATCCCTCCATTACGCAATGGTAGAGTTTCTTGAGAAAAGGGTCATATAAGGTTAGTATCTTGCCAACAAATGACCCTGTCCTCTTGAAATAGACAGGCTATTGAACTAGATATAACTACATACAATTTGCCTCTTCTTTCCACATGAGACATTGTGAATTATGGCTTCAGGGTATGGGGCTCATTCTTCTTATTTCCCTTGGCAATAGGATTCCTACAGAAGGGAAAATAGCCTCTCAAATTATTGCAGTAGAAAAAACCATAAATGGTATGAGGATGTCCTCAAATCTCATTCTTCTGCAGAGAAAGTGAGTACAATGTTGTCTGGGTAAACCATTGGGCCCCACTGTCTCAGGCACACTTCTGGGAGCTGGAGCTCAGTGACTGTGATTGCATTAGAACAACACATCAAACATAAGATAAACATGGAAGAATCTCAGTTATCTGCACTGTAGATCCTAAGTAATGAAATTGGTATTACTGTTTTTGTTTTTTTTTTAAACTGGAAACTGCTACTCTTGCCAAACATTTAGTTTCAGGTCTACACAACTGTTTCAGATAAATACTTTTTTTTTCTTCCCTGTGTACACAAAACTCTGCTGAAGTTTTCAACAGTGCAACAAAAGCTGGATAACTTTAACTTCATAATAACTCGGGGATAGATGAATTCAAGTTATTTGATTGCACAAGTCTCACAATTCAAATACACTTACTTTTTAAATGCCACAATTCTCTAAAATTCTAATGGTCTTGCCCTATATAGATGTCATGATTATGGGGGATTTATCAAGTTTAAAAGGCAGTTGTGCTTACAAATCAATTATGTTAAGTTATTACCAAATTCCAACCTATGTTTAGGTATGAAAATATGAGCTATTCATGTGAACAACAGAGTAGCTGCAGAAATAACACAATATGACTTTTAAGACGTTTACAAAGATAGGTTGTTTCCCTTTTGGGTTCATCTGATGTTTTAGCTTTCCAAATAGGGATCTTGTTTTCATTTGGTTATTTTGAGGATCCTAATTTTACAGAACAGCCAACCCCCTCAGAATAGTTGTCTTTAAAATCAGCTTGGGGCTATGAGAGGACACAGTCCTCTGTTAGCAATGGATACTGGACACCCCTTCTCTAAACTGTTCTAAGATGCACAGTTCTTTTTTAGTACCGAATGGCCTCAGATTGGGGTCCAAGGGGACACTTAGATGGACTGTTGAGAGTAAAGAATTTATTCCAGAAGTTACTAATGATGTGGACAGGCAGACAGTTGGGAACAGCATGAAAGGGCCTCTGAGAGAGTTCAGTACCAGCGCCAGACAGACAACATGGCAGGGGTTCTGGAAAAAGGAAATCAGAATCCCAGCAGCAGCAGCGAGGGCCTCACAATTTTCTGGAGTGGGTGGTGCACAGAAGAGCACAAGTCTCCAGCCAGGCTCTGATTCCTCTGCTTGAGGCTGGAGGCCAGGATGGATGGGAAACCGGATCTGTGGCCACCAATACCACCCATTTGATGGAAACTCAGTCCCCAAGTGACATATTCTGGAACGTGAAGTCTCTTAGCTAGAAATGGAGAGACAGTGTCTAGGCTGGGCACCTGAAGGAGTCTGTGAAAGAGGAAGTCTGGTGTATGCACTGTATTCTAGGCAGCAGCTGATTCTAACATTGCATTCCTACAAGTATTTTGGGGCAGCAGTCACTTTTCAATGGCCAGCTCAAGTGTCATGACTTCTGAGGAGAGTTCTGTAGTAATTAAGGGAATTGGATTGCCATTCTAAGTCTCTGTCACAGCACTAACGTGGTGTCATTTTAGCACACACTTTAAAATTGTATCCTAAACTGAGAATGTAGGTGGCTAAGTGGAAGTGTGCTTGCGTAGCATGCACAAGGACCTCAGTTTTGTTTTCAGCAACACTGAAAAGATAATTATATCAATTAACAGCTTGGATGTACCCCAACGATAAAGGAACTGCCTCACGTGCAGGAAACTCCCGTTCAATCTACTGTAGTATTCAAAAAGAAGTTTGTATCACAGCTAACAGTTAATCGTATGTGCTTTCCCCTCTTATTTCTAAGTACACTGGATTTACACTTCCTCAAGCATCACCTACTAAATGTTCAGTTCAGTTTACTGAATCACATGCAGCCCATTCCTCCACTGTCTTTTGCCTTCCCTGATGTATGCTTTTTTCAGACTTTAAGACATTTCATGCACCCAGGATGCAGACAACAACCTCCCCCAGATCAAATCCGTCACCGCTGCAATGGTTGAGGATAGGTGTGACAATCAATGGCAAGTTCTGATAAACTCAGGACAAATTGCTTTGACATAAAAGTTCTAACATTTAAGAAACCTTCTAATGAAAACATAATGATACTTATAATAAAAATGTTTACAGCTTTGGTATTTCCTTGTTTATGACATTTTTAAATTAAAAATCATATCCTAAACTTTATTTTAGGATTCTGAGTATTTCTGCATGTCTCCATGTTTCTGTGTAAGATGATGGAGCAGTGCAGTAGGCTTCTGTGGACCTGATACTAAATCAGTGAACACCATTGTACACATAGAAACGCAGTAGCTCCAAGTCTGCTGGAAAAGTGGTTAAAAGTAATGGCTGTTGATGTTTCACCTTGGTGCCAAACTTCACTTTCACTTGTAAAACATTTACTTGTTTTGCTTTACCACAAAAAAGTAGAAAAAACTAATTTTAAATGCCTACGTGTGAGTTGAATAAAAATTCCATCAACTTCTAAGTGATACTGACAATTAGAGTGAGAATATTCACTCGGAGATTCAGTGACATGAAAACTTAAATGAAGATGTGCTCTTAGTGTTGGGCCTATTGGCAGTTTATGATGCATGAAATGCATGCCTGTGATTCACTAACAAGGACATAAAACTCATAATACAGACACCATGATATCAAATACAATCAATTAATATACCTGAAGTCATTTATTAAATTATTGCTGCAGCCTGTTAACTAAAGATAATTCTAAGTATCTCCCACTTTAGTTAGAATTCAATTTTCAGGAAGTAAAACATTTCCCAGTTTGATTTAATATTTAAACATTTTATTTGCTCACTAACATTTACTAATTTTCTTCAATTTCTGAAATTTACACTTCAATTTTTTCTAGAGACATTTATGAAAAATGTTTGTTTGCCTATTTTCTTTATTGTATTACATTCTAAACTAAATGCCATCTTATTTTTATTTCATTTGCCTGTAATTATTAATTAT